AACGAGCCAATATATATTTGTTCAAGAAGAAAGTTCTGATTACAAGTGGGAAATTATAATTGATTAGAGTCAATTTAAATTAATTTGTAAAGAATGTGAGAGAATACAAAGGAAAAATGATTTAGAAATGGGATTAGTAAACAATGAAAATTCATTAATATTCATCTATGCATAAAACTGATAAGAGATTTATAACTTGGATTAGAATTCTGTATGAGAAAGGATCCTAATATATATTTAGAATCTATTCATTACTCTATTGATGAGAGATAGATATAGATCTCATATTAAAGAGTAAAGAGAAATAATGAAATATACGTAGGAAATCAAAACTGCAAAGTTGCAATTAAACTTTGTCAGGGAACAGTGGACCTGTTGACTCTTAGATAGTGAATATTTAAATTTAGTAATGACATATATGCAATGCAACTCAAAAATCAATTTTTTATCCATTCTAATTTTTTTAGATTTGAAACTTCAATTATTGAATAGAGTTCATTCATTTTTTAGGATTAGGACACCAATTAGATTGGCCATTAAATGACATCTCGTCTTCATATTAGTTTCAAGAGATAAAAACTCTTCACATCTCCAAAAAATCTTGAAGAATTAATGTAACAAAATATTTCTATTTTTTTGTAATTATTAAATTATAAAATTGATTATACTAAAATCAAGTATTTCAAACATTAACATTTTAGAAATATATGGCTGAAAAAACTAAACAAACAAAAGCACTTCGAGAAAGAGTCCCATTCCAAAATGACAAGATTAAATTGATTGAACTTGATCAGGAATTACATAAATTTATAACACCTAAGATTTATATTCCTTTTGGAGAAGTAATGATCTCATTGTGATTATGTCAAATATATTGGAGGCAGGATTCTGAAAAGGTCTAATGAACTAAGTTATACAATACCCCCTTTAAGTCATAAATGTTAATTTGACTACAGATTTGAGTCACTTCATAAGCCTTGGTTGTATAGAGTCATTTTGATAGTTTAAAGAAGACTCTCAAAACCTAATGTTTCATCCTATGTTTTTATGACACTAAATCATACTTAGGAATTGATTTTCTTGTTCATAATCAACTAAAGATCTCATACCAATATAATATTATTAGAATTGGATTTAATTAACATAATGTATTGTAGTTGCTTTCATTTCAACAATTACTTCAACTGAATTTAAATATACAAGTGATACAATAAATAAGAAGAA